CACAAACATATAAAGGGTTTTCACAAATAATCCCGAAAGTGGGATGCTTTACACGCCCAATGTTACATTTTTTAAGCCAGTTATTTCCCCACGAAAAATATATAATGGTAACGCTTAATCGACATTGCCAAGTTGTTGCATTGTTTTATTTTTATTAGTTTGATTTTATTCTGAAATCTGTTTTTTATGAACAATAAGCAGAGACTGCTAACTATAAATATTTTACTATATAAACTAGAATATAGTAGCAACACCCAACGGCGTGTCTACTAGACATACACTATATTATTAACTAGTTGATTTTTTCTTTCCAATATAATTATGCTAGAAGGACAAATATATCCAAATACTTCATAAGTATTCTTTCTTCTGTAAGCATAACGTATAAGAATTGAAACCACATACAATTGGTATCATCCTAATATTTCAAATAGTCTACACTGTTAAAGAAAATGAAAGCTTTTTGACCTGATTTGTTTCTGGTTCGAATTTGTAATTGAATGGTGATCAATTGTACGGATAATTGTAATGCCTAAAAATTTAATTGTCTTTGCTGTCTTTATATGAGTGTGAAGTATTTTTATTACATATATTAGTGATTAAATTAAATTTTTCAGCTGTATTGTTGATTATTTTATGTGGAATGCATTTTATTAGGCCATACATAGCCGTTATAAGTTTGTATATAGTATTTTTTTAAATTTGTAACAGTTATAATGTTTGACCTTTTGTAACAAATACTTTTTCAAAAAATATCTTACAAAAGTTCTAAATATGTAGCACATTTGATGATCGTAGTTTTTTACTTAATTAAGTCATTCGATGTAATGCTGAGTTTTTATTGCTTATTTTAAACTTATAATACTGATGATAATTTACTTACTGAATTAATTAGTTTCATTTCTTGGTCATTGAACGAAGATTAGACTTAAAGACCAAAACTTTTATAAAACCTTTATATTTTTTTTTATTTAAGTAACATCCTGATTGATCTCACAGTCAGATCATATGTATATATGTGATTGTTGAATGTGAAATGTTTGTTAATGTACGTTTGTGCGACAGGCTCGAGTTGTATGACTGCTCGCCCCGATTGCACGGTTACGCGGCTGATCTTACATACGTTGACACCACTTGTACTGTAATGGCCAGGGTTGGAGGTCGCGATGCTCTGGAGCGCGCTATACAGGTCGCTCATTCAATTTTTATCGAAAAATGACACAAGCGCATATATATACATACACACACACACATATATATATATATATATATATATATATATATATATATATATTTATTAGGACGTCCTAAATCTTGACGACAAGCCAAAATGGAATGATAGTATTGATCTTAACTGTACTGAAAAAAATAGAAGACAATTTATCTTACGTTGTTCGAAAATTACGAGCTTTTAAGGTTCTAGAGATGGGTTGTGGTTCTAGAAATGCTATTCACGATCATGGTTCCAAAGTTTAGTAAAATGAAAAAGATTAGTAAAAATTAACCACAAAAGCCGAAAATCATAAGTCATAAATTCACCAAAACTTGAGGCTGACTTTAAAGCTCGTAATTTCCGAACATCGTAAAATAATTTGTTTTCTAATTTTTTCAGGACAGTTAAGGTGAATACTATCACCCTATTTCGGCTTGACATCCAGGCCTGGGACACCCTATATTCTTATATATTTCTTCACAATATTTTTAGTCTCATTTCAAATAATTTTTCATCTTATATATATATTTATATATATATATATATATATATATATATATATATATATATACTTTTAATGAAAAAACTTTTGGTGAATAATAATTCACATAAGAACAATATTTACATCCTCTGTTTATATATAAACAGATAATGCTCCACCGTACTATTCGAGTAGAATTTTAATTGTGAATTCTAGTGACAAAATTGAACATGTTCGTTTTATATTTTTAGTACCGGAGGGTTTTTATAAAATAAACTAGATCGAAGTCTATATTTTCGATTTTTTAAATTAACATATTATTATTAGGCACTAATTTGAAGTGTTTACTGTAACTACTCCGTGTTTTTTTAACATATTGCTGAACGAATTAATCTATAACTATAATCTATTTTTTTGCACGTCTTCAAAGTTCTTGAAAAAAAGTATATTTGTTTTTTTTTTAAGTATCTTTGAAATCTTATATTTTGAAAATTCTCAATATTATTAAAGAATTTCAACGCAAATGGTATGGATTGTTTCGGGAATACATTTCATTTTTATGTAGATTTGATCAAAGTTTAATTCGTTTATGAATTTCATTCGTCTAAAATTTATTAGATTAGGTATTATTTTTGTTTTTGAACAATTTACGGTGGGAAAAATGAACATTAAAAGCTATACTTAGTGGATATAATTAACTTTTGATTTGCAACATTTTTGACAATGTTTTGACTAAGATTTTATAACATTAAGGTGACCATACGTCCCGGTTTGGCCGGGACAGTTCCGGATTTTCACCTTTTGTCCCGGTTTTTCTAAAAGCATTATTTGTCCCGAATTTTGCTGCGGATTTTCCCGGTGTTTCGGAAATTAATAAGTAAAAAACAAAATTAACATTAACAACATTAACAAAAAATATGAGAACAAACGAACCATTAATAAATTAATTAATAAAGCTTTTACTAAAAGTCCGCAATTGTGAATAAAAAAAATTTTCATGTAAAAAACTGTTTTTTTATTCTATCCTTAATTAGCATTTATTATTTTAACCTTTTCCAATCGGATGCCGCCAAAATCCAGCGGCAAATTTCATATAAATTTCGGAATCCGTGAGTAGAAGTAAAGTTTCCCTCCTATCCCGGATTAACATAACTAAGACTTGCCGTCCCGGTTTTGACTTATTGTTAATAAAAATATGGTCACCTTAATGAAAAACCATTGCTGAATACAATTGATCAGAGCCTAAAATAATCGTTATTGATCACCAATTGTTGATTGATGCACACAAATAAATATTTTAAAGAGTGCGATGTATTGGTAAAAATAGGAAGAATTCGGTGTGAATAAACAATAAATTAGGATATACATAAATAAATCTCACATAATATTTAATGTTATTCAATTACTTCGGATCGATAGGGTTGTGATGTTGCGGTAATATTAGAACCAAAAGGTAGGTACGAAGCGGATCCGATTCGGGCGCTCCACGCGTGCGGCCGCAGAGTGGCCAACTACGCCCGCGTTCTGTGCGAAACAAACCCGCGAGCGCTAGTGGCCGTTTGTTGCGAACCGGTCGAGGCTCTCGTCCCGCTAGTTAGCGCGGTTTACTGTAGTGGCGGCTGGTACGATCCCGGTCGAATCATTGGTAAATCAATATTTTATTGACAATTATACGCTTTTTTAAAAAATATAGGATATCTGAAGTGGTTAGTTTAAAATATTTGAAAGCGGTTTTTGTTTTTATTTTATTTTTATTTGTTATTTTTCATTTTCTAACTATTAAAAACGACTATGTACAACTTTTCGTATATTGAATTTCATAGTTTTGCTTAGGGATTCGAATAAATATGAGCATTCAAAAAAGTAAAATTACGTTTATTTAAATAATTCCTCATCATACTCATTGTAAATGTTAGTAAAGAGTATGTTATGAATAAATTGTTTATGAAAATCCAAATATTATTTAGCCTGATATCATTAAAGCAAGATTTTAAAATTACAAATTACAATATCTAAAACACTTGATTATTTGAGCATATACAGGATCGCTGAACTTAACGTCAGCCAAAACAGGGTGATTGTATTGATCTTAACTATTCTGAAAAAAAAATATAAAAAATATATTTCACGTTGTTTGGAAATTATGAGCTTTTAAGTGCAACCTAGAGCTTTAGTGAAATTATGAACATTTTTCGGTTATTATGGCTAAATTTTATAAATTTTGTTCATTCAAACTTTGGAACCGTATGTGAATTACATCTCTAGAACCACAGTAAAAATAATAACACAATTGCCCCGAATTTTCAAGAAATATGACATTTTGTTAAACTATAATCAGGGTTTTATTTTTTTTTACTCGAATAATAATATTATTCGAGTATTATTTTTTTAATAATAAAATTATCAAGTATTTTACCATTTTACAATCCTGATTAAATGCGTCCTACTTTAGATAGAACTTGCCAAAACAGTTTAGTGCTTTTTTTAAGGAATGACATTCGAAGTCGATTAATTTTTAAATTTTTAAATTTATAGTTTAACCATAAACTCTTAATTCTCGAAAACTTGAGGCAATCGAAATTATTTTTGACTGTGGTTTTAGAAACGTTATTCATGGTTACATACAAAAATTAATCAAAATTAACCACAATATCCGAAAAAGGGTGACATTTTCAACAAAGCTATGAGTTTTATTTAAAAGCTCATAATTCCCAAACAACATGAAGTATTTCTTTTCTAAATTTTTTCCAGGACAGTTAAGGTCGATACTATCACACAGTTTCCGCTTGACGTTAAATTCTGTGACACCTTGTATATACTTGATATAGAAAAAGCAATATAAAATTACTGTTCTCGATAATTGATTATTGAAATGTTGTGTATTACTATTTCTTCGAAAATGTTTCACAATATTTAAATGTCATGCTTACGATGTAAATTGAAGACAACATGTTATAAAGTATGTGTAATTCAGGAAAATACCACTTACTTAATACCAAATTTATTTCTTTTGATTGTTTTTACTATTCTTCCAGATTCCAATCATATACTTTTATATTTTCGCTTTAAATATATCAATAAAAGTTGTCAATATAACCAGTTATGAGATCATTGTCTTCATTCAGTGTTTCTTGATTTTTTTATGAAAAAATGCGAATAATTACATTTTCATCCAGTGAATATAAATTTAAATTCTGTCTTAACTTCCTCACTGATAATCAAATATTATCATAAAATTTATCATTTCATTGATATTGATTTGCAGGCAGTTGCGCGACCAGCGAGGTCCGCTGTAATACAAGCCTGGCCCGGTGCATGGGCCTCGATCCGTACACGCTCTATGTACCCATCGTGGGTGGAGCGAGTGGCGAATCGCTTGTGCCTATATTCTCCAAAGCATTGCCCACTGTTATGTTGACTGAGGTGATACACAGATTAATGAAATTCAATTATTACTATTTAATTCTATGACAAAACTAATGAATTTTTACTGGCATTGCTATAAAAATAATCGTAACGTAATGTCATCGTCATTAACTATATCAATAAATTATATCTAGCTTATAATGAAATCTACTTTACTTTGAGCAATATTAGCAATAAGAACGTCTGGCATAAAATAACTGCTACAAAAATTCAATGTTACTTAGTATCCATAGGTCATTTTAAGTAATTCAATATTCCGTTCAGAGTGCAACAAACTCGGTTGTCCAAGAGCTTCGAAAGCCCGTGATGGAGGCAGCTTGCAATCCGCTTATTCCCTTGCTGGGGGCGCATGCAATCAAGCGCCTGATTTTAGCACTGTGCTCAGGTCTGGCTAACAAGAACAACGTGCTTATCAACGCGTTCGTTGCCAGCGATTTGCTGCCTTGTTGTCGGTAAAATTTGTGCTTGCAATTATTATCATAATTCATGTGAATTTTTGCCTTTTTTAATGCTTCCTCGTACTTTGGCAACGTCGTTTTTTTCGCCAAATGAAAATACTCCAGAACTGTTACATATGGAACGGTTATTGTAGGATATAGTAGACGGCATAGAAAAAAATTATATTTATCTTTTCAAAATTATTTTAAAGAAAGTCTAATCATTTGTTCTAACGGAATTATTACTATATTTGCTGAAGATATTTTATGACTTTATACTAAACCTCACTGAATACATTCATGAAACTAACCATGAATGAAATTTCTAAGACTACAGTCATAAATAATTATGATTCCCTCAAGTTTTCGAGATTTAAGAGTATTTGTTAATCTATAAATTTAAAATTTTTGAAAAAATGCACTAAACTGTTTTGGCAGGTTCGATCAAAAGTAGAACGCATTTAATTATTTCACTGATATTTGAAGATTGACGGAAGAAGTAGAATATCAAATTTATTGGATAAAAAGCAAAGCTTATAGTCTTTGCAACAAAAATATAAAATTGCACTGATGTGATCTTAAATTTAATTAATGTTTAAATTCAAAAATTATTTAGTTGCTGCATAGCAACCACACATTAATAATTAATAAAAATATATCTGTAGGGGAGCATGAAAGATCAATAAGCTATTTTAAATGTAAAATAAACAATCGCGAATTCCATATTAATGCTACATAGGATTATTAAAAAAATCATATATTTCTAATAAATAATTTAAAAGAACACGTAGTCTTTTTATTTTGAAGACAGAAAGCTCGTTCTATCGCTGATACACGTTGGATATTATAGTTAAATAACTGCAAACATTTACTTCTAGTTTTTTAAATACAAATAAGTATATTCTGTCTAACAGATGCAATAACATTGGGAACTTACAATTAGGGTAGGGCGGGGCTAGTTGAGCATAGGGGCAAGTTGAGCAATCGAAATATCGTTTAGGCATTATATGGCGAAAAGCTAGAGGTTTGGGAGAAATATAAACATCCCGCGATCGCTAGTGGCCGCTGGACAAATGAGTGAGACTCACGGGCGTTTTGTTTATTTTGAGACCGAAAAGTAAAAAAGTAATTCATCGCGAGTTTTTGTCTGGTTTAGTCAAATATTATTTAATTTTAATCAGGTAAATGTTATTCTTCCACATAATCATAGTACTTTTGATATGCACAGAGATTCTGGGTATAATTCTCACGTTTTTTTTATAAACTCACTTTTATTTTGAAATTCCGAGTTGGGGTTAGTTGAGCATAGTTGCTAAACTTGTTCTGTCACTAAGACAATTACCATTAACTTCCAGAAATTAATTATTATTTTTAAAATTTAAGCTAAGTCTATGAGTAATAATATAAAGAAATAATGATTTTAAACAAAAATACTGCATTTAATGGTAAAATAATTCCTAAGATACGATATTGTTTTGTTGATTCTACTTTTGGTCAATTATTCAAAGAAAATTACTATAAGTTTTGCTTTCTCTGTCAATAAAGACTATAAATATAGAACTGGTTATTAAAAACTAATTTTATTTCATCACTAATCGGCATTGAACCTATGATTCCATTATAATTTCTTAGTGCTCAACTTGCCTCACCTATGGGGTACATTGAGCATACTTGACTTTTTGCATTTAAACAGCTGCAGCTTTTAAATTTTACTTATTGCCAAAAAATAGTATTAACACTTTTGTTAAGCGATAAACAACAAATCCATTAAGCCGTATAGCAATTTATTGAGACTTTTCATTGAGGAGCTACATCCGTTTAAGTAAAAAGTTGCTCAACTAGCCCCGCCTTACCCTAGTGACAAATGGTAAATAAGCAAATGATTTTGATATTGGTTCAATTGTAACCAATATTCGTGTAATATTGATTCTCGCTCAATCTCATAGACATAACTATATAAACAACATTTTGATCAATTTATATATTCTATTCGATTGTGATATTTTAATAGTTCTGTATTATTCGTGCAGTTTTAGAAAATATTAGAAAGTATTGAACGCCCAACGTTTGATAATTATTCTTAAATGTTTTCTTTAATTTTTCTCAATTTTTTTTAGAAAATTAGATGATATTAAGAATGAGACGTATTACCGATTTAACACTGTCACTTACTAATAGTTACTTGGCGAGCCCGGTGCTGCTCGGCACGGACGGCGTGAAAAGGGCCCTCAACATACCCAAATTGTCCGACTGGGAGTTGAATGAGTTGTCTAAGGCCCTATGGCGTGTGAATGCTCTAACTTCCGCTGGAGAAAAACATGCGAGAAAATTGGTAGGCGAACAAGAACGAATAAGCAACGAAAGTAAAACCGAAGTTGATCCAAATGTTTTGAGGGCCGCCCTTAGAAGAAAAGGTCTTATGCGAAACTAGGCTTAAAGTCAGTTGTTTGTGCTACTTACACTGAACGAGAGATTTTTTTTAGATATTATTATGAATTTGGTTCCGGAAGAATATATGATTATAAAATGAAAACCAATTTGTCTTTTAGTTTTCTTAATAAATTATTGTTTGTTTTAATAATATGGTTTTTATAAGTTTTTCAGTTTTATACTGTCAAGTTATTTTTATTTTATATATCCATAGATCATATAGTGTTACAAAAAAGAATAGACGAGCACCCAAATTACTTGGCCAACAAAGTATACTCAGAAGCGCGCCCAACAAGACTAAAACGAAAAATTCCAAACGATCTTATAAATTTGTAAATTATTATTATTATTATTGTTATTATTATTGTTATTATTATTATTATTATTGTTATTATTATTGTTATTATTACTATTATTATTTTATTATTATTATTATTATTATTATTATTATTATTATTATTATTATTATTATTTTCTTACTATTTCTATTATTGTTATTTTGTTATATTTTATTATTTTTCTAGTATTATTTTATTATTCTGAAATTTTATTTATATTATTTATTAATCTTATTTTTATTATTATTTGCTTATATTTTACATTAAATCATATTACGGATATTATTTTCATGTAAATTTTATCCTTTGCTCTTTTATTTATTTAAATTTATATTATTATTTATCAATATTACTTGATGTTAATAAATTAGCAGTTGTAATAATTATTGAAATTAAAAAAAAATATAGTGTTACAAGGAATGCCTTTTATTTAAAACTAGCTGTACCCGATCACGCGTTGCTATGTTATACATTTAAATAAAAATCTAAACTAGCTGTAAGTGGAATTCTGTCTTAAGGCAATTAAGGCATTGTGCTTTAAGGCAAATTGCTGGAACTTCCCGTACCAAAAATTTATTAACGATTAAGATTTTTAAAAATTTTACTTCGAAAAAATAAAATTTTTGAGAAACTATAAATTGGACAAAAAATTACTTTTTTTTGAAAAAAAAAAATATTTTTTATTTTTTTTTAGATGTTTTCTTTATTTTGACATATTTTGGAAGATCTGAACTTTTTTTCAAAGCAATCGTACTGCTTTAACTGCATAGAGACAATAAAAAACATTGGTACGGAACCCATAGGAATGTAAACAAAATTTATACTTATTGTTAAAATCTCTATAAAATATCTGATAATTTGATGTGCATATGTCTAATGATCATTTTTGACCGCCAAATGGCATTTTTTTTTACTTTTTTCGTTAGATCTCCGAAATCGCTAGACCTGCCCTTATGAAAATTTGATCTTCATCTTGTCAATACAAGTAAAATGTTTTTTGAATTATTAAAATCGGACGCTCCGTTCTCTTAAAAACTGAGGTACTGTTTTTGGCACTTTTTGCCCCATATCTTCGGAAGGGTTAGACCTGCCTCCGCCAAAAATTAATCAGCACGTCTCCTTATTAATACGAATCGAATGTTTTTTGAATTATTCAAATTGCTTCATCCGTGTTCCCGAAATCGTCGACGAAAATTTATATCCGCACACACACACACACACATACATCCATTTTTTCTAAGGTATGCCAAAATATTCAGAAACCTCTGAAACGTGAAGATATATAAAAATTTTCATTTTCAATTTTTTTGCGATTACTATAACTTACCCTACGGGAAGTTAATAAAATGCGATTCTGTTTACCTAGTTATCAAGATGTAAAATAGCGCGCGTATTTTTCGTGGTTTATTGTTGAGATTAGATGATGATGAGATTATTAGATGCATCTTAAGAGTGAAATATCCCAATATATATTTATTGATTTTATTTATTTATTCATATACAAGCCGTAATCAATAATAATAAATATTATTTCAGGCTCTTGTCAAGCTTATTAATAAATAATACATAAATTAATCAATTAATAGTAAATTATTTTTTTAATATTTATAGTAGCTGCACGATTTTCGCTTCTGAAAAAAGAGCGGAAAAAATCATTTGAACATTAAATACAATGTTCATAATCAAGTTCATCATATTAAAGTCTATTAAACCACCAGTTAAGCAGAAAATTCTTGCACAAGTTGAAAGTTATACTGATTTAAAACCGTTAAAATTAAATTGATAAAATAGCAATGAGAAACTAGTAAAATTATATAAATGAAATCACTAAACATGAGAAAAAAAACATGGTTGCACAGGATCAAATGGTCAGACTACATAAATAAAAGATAAGCATTATGCAAGAAAATAGTTATTGAAATCAAATTGAGAAAATTCTGTAATGTCATAAAAAGCTAATTTTTGATGTCAAATTTCCACTTGGAGTTATAGATCACAATATAATTCCAAGTGGAAATCGTCCTTCGTGGACATAGCTACAATATCCAATCACATGTTAACTATTAGACTTAAGAGCTAATATCAAAAATAAGAGAATGGTAAATCGATGGATTGCCTCTCATGAAATACATAAGTAGTCATAAGTCTTGACCAACAGCTTATAGAACATATAAGCATTCTGATTGCTGTTCAAACAATTACAATAAAAAAAAATAAAAAGCTAATTCTTTAAAAAGTTTTACTGAGGTGGCATGGATTTTTTTGTTGTCTAAGTTTGGGATATTGAGTGAATGTTTTCATAAGCTGAATACCTAAACCGTCGATCGTATTGAAAGAGCTGGCTTTAAAAGCTTATAAGCTAATAAGCTTATAAGCATATATATATATATATATATATATATATATATATTAAATAATTTACGAAGCTGTTTGAATCAAATTATTAAGCTATCTTATTTATAAGTTTTTTTTTCCAAAATGTAAACAACGTCAAAACGCTATGAGATCAATATATATATATATATATATATATATATATATATATATGTGTATTTACAACAATCAAAGTTGCAAACTTTTATATTTGACCTTAATAAATTTATAATTAATTTGGATATAGAGCAAAATGCTTGGAAAAACGTTGGTAATATATATATATATATATATATATATATATATATATATTATAATATAAAGGTAAATATAAATATATATTAAATAGGTGTTTCATGGCGTAACGGTTACGCGCACTGTCTTCTGTGGATAAGGTGATGTCATGCAGTATTGATATCTATTTTCACTTGGATATATAGATCAAAAATATATTTCCAGTTAAAAATAAGTGTGAATAAGCACTGTGGTGTGAAATGGCAATAGGAAATCTCTCACTCATTTTTGTCTTGAATCAAGTTGGAGTTTAACTCAGCTCACGGGCCTGCCCATGACCTGCCCTAGGGCAACAGTACCCATAATTCATTATATATTAAATAATTCGTTCTTGATATTCTCTTGATAAGGGCATTCATCAGTTTGATATAAAATATATTCTATATATGCAAAAATATGCAATCTTCTCAAAATCAAAGAGTTTTCATTTTATTTATGATACAATAAGCTCCATCATTTTGTCACAAACCTTTAGTTTGATATTTATATCTTAAAAGCTAAATATAATTGTAATGTTTACAACAAAATTGGCTGTTTGTTGTTATAGATTATTTGAGATATGATATATGTTTCAGGACAAACTTCTAAGTAAATTGGAACAAAACGAGCCAGAGCTTGCAACGACGCAGGAAGATGAGGTAATAAAAATAATATATGAAACCTATAGATATAGTATAAACGCATAGTTTGTTTGTTGTTAATAGTATTTTACAACCCCATACATTTATAAAATCTAATGCTAATATAATTAATGCGATTAGACCAATCACATTGTAAGGATGGTTTTCTATTGCAAAGTACACGCTGTTTGGAGAAAAATATTCCCAAAACTAATGCTTAAATACTTTCCGTGAGGCGTATAATTTTAATCGAATATCATCGCGATAAGAAACACTTGTATTTAGCGTTTTCTGAGCATTTCTGTAATATAATGATGTTAATCAAAGTAAATTAATGAATTAATTAATAAATATAACCCCAAACGACACTGAAACCGACTTGAACGAGAATATAATATACCTACTCTAGTGAATAATAATATCTAATGAATATAATTATCTAAGTTCTAATAATAATGTTTTTCTAAATATCATCAATTATTTAACTAAATCTTACTCTCTTATATATCTGCAACAATTTTATATTTTTTAGTATATTTTTATTTTAGAACCATATTAATCTATATATTAACAATCGTGTCTAATGTGATCAATCTTTCTATCGCCAACAATAACATGTTTTAACACACTAGAAACTTTTTATCTTCCGGAAGTTGATTTTTTGCTTTTACCAGAAGTTTCAAGTCAATCTGAATCGTTTGAAACCCAAATTAGAAAGAGGACGTGTTTTGTGTACGCTAAAATTTGATTTTTTCGATGTTTTCTCAAAACTGACTGCACGGATTTAAAAAATTCAAAAGTCACTTGATGAAAACCTCAATACAGGTTTACGATGATTAAGTTTCTTTAGAAGTAGCAAGAAGTGTAAAATTGTTCGTCCTGAAAATCCTAAAATGTTTAAGAACCGTTCAAAATATATATGTCGAAAATAATGATTTTGGTAAAGGTCGGCATAACCATTTCTTCGTAATTAATTGTTGAATCAAAATTTTTGGGTGATTTTAAAACAAGGTTTGTATGACGATAAAGTACATGGTCTTAACGAACATTACATATCAATTCAAATTATTTTAATTATTTTTAGATTTAATTATGAAAAATCATCAATGTTTAAAATAATAGGACGTGCCAAATTCTTATTGAATAAGTCGATTATTTACATAAATCAGAAAGTGAGATAAAACTTGCCTTAATACAAAATGTCATTTACACCTGCTTCAGTATGTTTTATTACTATTGTAAATTATTTGCGTACTATAATTTGGTAGTCATAATAATATATCAATATCATACAACATTCGCAATAACAAGATGTCGTAACAATTGTATATAATTAAACTATTCCTATTTATCATTTTGCAAGTACATACATGAATTATTTGAATTATTTGCAAGTGTTTTCGATTATTTCAAACAAAATGTAAATGTAGCACTCTAATGGAAGAGCTAGAGCTTAGAGGTTTTTACACTAGTCATATAGTGAACAAAATTTGTATTTGAAATTCAACAAATGATTTAAAATTGATTTAAAGAATTGTTTTATATCTAGGATTGCACCGAATATTCGGTTACAATTCGGTATTCAGCATATTCGGCAAATTTTTGATATTCGGCCGAATGCCGAATAGCGACATACTATTTGGCCTGCTGCTAAAACACTGCCAAATATTCGATATTCGGTGTCTGGAGTATGCCGAACTTTCGATATTCGGTATTTTGCCGAATATACTATTCGTTGCAAGCCTATTTACGTCTTGTGCTTTTTGATTGTTCATAGTGCGTGATATGCGTGAACGCTCGAGCAACAATGCAGACTTTACCTTGCGCTCATCAGGTTGTTTGTCGGCGTTGCTTCGTCAAGACTATCCAGAGTGCCGTAGCGCAGCGCGTACTACCTCTACGATGTGTTATTTGCAGGTAGAAATTAGTTAACATATGATTACATAAAAATCAGCCTATGGTTCAACCTATGGCTTCATTTTTTATTATTCAATTTTTTTATCTTCTATCTACAAAGATATTTGATCAATTTTTTTAAAGTAGAAAAAATAAATATAAGAACTATGCATAATGATAAGAACTACATTCAGTGATGACACTTTTTACAGTGACGATAGAACAAAAATAAAATAGAAAGTTTTAGCAGTTATTAGTTGAATTAGAATAAGTTCTTCTGTTATGAACTATTAAAACTATTTTAATATGAATTTATTACAACAACTTTCATGCTAAGCTGTAAGGGTGATCAATCAGCTCTTTTTGTAAACTACTCAGTAAACTACTGCTTTCTACTTTTTACTTTCTGCAAACTACTTTCTTTCCTTTGAGTACCTCATTTCTGATAGAAACGTTTTAAATTGTACCATTATGCATGCAATACACGACTATTTGTAATGCTGGCATACATCACATTTTTTCTCTAAGCTGAATAGATTTTTTATTTACAATTATATTTGTTAAGGTATTAGAAAGTCCTATATTGACAATTAACATTTTTTATTTTTGAATTTATAGTTAGTAATATTTATTTTTTCACAATTAAAGAATTAAATGGTCCAATTGCTTGAATTTTGCCCTAACATGGTTGTTTTATTTCTAATAATCGCTACCACATGAAGTACATATTTTATTGAAGTACCCATTTGAGTTGAATCTTAAAAGCATATTTAGCATGTTAATTAGAAATAGCGATAATCCTAAAACACTACTTTTTGATGCTCCCAGAGGTTTTGTGCCGTAGAACTGCAATACAGCGTTTCCCAATCATGTTTCAATTCCATTAGTCAACTCCAAAAGATTTTAATACCTGATCTTTATCTGGTAGACAGCAATTAAGTTGATTAGAAGCTGTTATACCAAGCATTAATGAATGGTTATTTTACTAAATACAACCCTGCTCAACATTTAATCTTTGGTCTCGATCGTTCCTTGGATGTTCCTTATACTATTATTATTTTAGTAGATCTGTCCGAATGCAGTTCCATGGCGTAAGAGCACCACATATCAACGATTTCTTTCTTTTCATTGTTTATTATTATTATTATTATTAAATTACATTTCCAAACTTCTACTGCCATGCTTTAGGGCCCTGTGCCTCGACTTTTAATTCATTCTTCACTCGCGTAAGTCGCCTGGCATATATTTGACATATTATATGCAGCTGCATAATAATATTACTGAATATGTGTATGTGCGATTTTCCCTCCATAATTAAGCACTCGAAGCATCTGACATTCATATATTTATTTATTCCATTTCATATATAAATATCATATGTTTGCAGAGCGCGAGTTTTGCGTCTTCAAACCGGGAACGAATCTTGGGGCCTTCAAGGCTCAGCCAGCAGTTATTCCGTCTCCAGTAAGAGTTGGCGAGTAAGTTTTACTTGTAAACTAGTGCTAACTTCAGTATGTTTCATATCGCTAGTCACAAATCAATTTTCACTGGATGTCTCTTTGCAATATTTAGAGTACACTTCTATAACTGGTTGATTTATTTAATTGTCTGGTACTAATGAATGATTTGAATAGAAGTCATGAAACAGTATTTCTGTTTAGGTTAACAATAATTTGAAAATTCAAGATGATATGGATTTAAGTAAAACTTGTTTGAAATCTAGGTATCAGGGTCTTCCAGTTCATATAGTGTTGGTACCCAATCTTTGGGCCCACCCGGAGTTCCTCCTTCTGTCAGCCTATATTCCATGAGTTCCGGCTCCTCATGCGGATCAGGTATTGTATATATGTATATATATATATATATATATATATATATGTATATATATATGTATGTATTCAATAGATAAGTCCTGGATTTTTTCAATATATTGATTGTTTCTTTTCAAGACTTTGTAACACACTGTAATGAAGTTACAAAGTCTGTGGAAGTCAAAAACATTTACAAATATTCTCGAAAAATCGAGTGTTTTTAACGAAAAATATTAGTGATATGGATATATAAATTATTACAGAATAAACCTGATGATGGAACGTATCTAGTTCCGAAACGTCGTTATTAAACATCTTCAAAAAAACAAATTGTTTTTTATTATTGGATTTACTGTTTGGAAAAGAAACAATCATATATATATATATATATATATATATATATATATATATATATATATGTGTGTGCGTGTGTATTATACTGCTTATGCTTAGTTATGAAAAAAATCAATCATTGTAGCCGTTATATGAATAAATATCATTAGGTGTATCTTCCACTTCATCGAGTGGTGGTGCTTCGAATCATCACACGAGTTGTTCGAGCACTTGTTTGGGCGCAGTTCCAAAAATGCCACAAAACCGTTCCTATCCTAGAAGGCTTCAAACGCACCCCATAAAGGTATTTTGTACTACTATTGTTACATATATCTCAATCTTTAAGTATAATATCTTTTTAAGATTTTTTAAAAATGAATTATATTTAATCTTTTTTTGCTCATTGTGATGTTACACTAATAGATACAGCACAAAGTATAACTATTAAATGTTCATTGTTTGTAAGCACTAAATGCTTTGAAACAATCGAATACATAGCATATATGTTTTCAACGAAAACCACTCAAATGAGGAAACAGTTTCAAATTATATTATATGTCGCATAAGAAAATTTGTTCAGAATTATATGACAAAAATAAGTCCTACTTGGGAAGGTATTAAAAGGTTATCAAGAAATAGTGCGTTTTTCCCTTTTTTTTCCAAATAGCCAAAAAATTATTATGTCTTAGAAATCAAAATAGAAATTTAATAGAAAAAAAATCTGGAAGCGATTGATTGTTATACATTTTCTAATGAATCCGATGTATTCAAAGCATGTAATTGTAAGCACTTATTGTAAATATTAATCGTTCTTCTATAAATAACAGTATATCATTTGTGCATATAATTCAGTCTTTGAGATTCAATTAGATAATTGAGCTACTAGGCTCCTGTCCAAAGTATAGTAAAATTAGTACAATTGTAACTCCCTTGCCATGTTCTTTATTCCAGGCAGGTTTTGGAATTGGTTTATATTGAATGAGCTTTAAATATTTCTAGCAAGACAATATTATATTTTTAGTGGAGCTAGAGCTATAGTTTGATTGTATTATATATTTTAAGGATAGATACACTTAATTATATTAAATTTTTCACTTCACAGTTAAGAGTGCCAGAACCTCCAGGACGTCTGCCACCAATCAAAGAATTACCACGAAGTCCTGCGCGTACTTACACTCAGCCTTCCGTTAACAGCGCTTCCTCTTCATCTACTCGCATTCGGTAATTTGAATCTATCATAGCTCTAGACAAAGTATGATCGTAACATTATTTCTATACTTTCTAAATTTTCAATTCTATTTCCAAAATGGTCAAGACTGTTTTTTGTGTTTATTTAATTTGCATCAAAGTTCAATGTCGTACATCAATAGACTATTTTATGTTAGACCAGTTGAAAATATTTACTAGTGATGACAGACTGACAATATTTATCATAAAATAAATTCTTCGTTTAACATTTATATGACTAAATAGTGCATAATGCTAAAATACAAAATTAAATTCATTACGGATCTGTTGGGAATATCTATTTATGAGTAAAAGAGGGGGTATTTCTACTTGGTATAAAACCGAGGATTTTCGATACAATCTTCCTATTTCGATTGCTGCCTTATGGAATAAATTACTTTTTCAATCAGAATATTGTTATGTAAACTTTATCAGAGAAATAAATATAATTATACCGACAAGATAATACAACATAGTATTTCAAATTGCATTATGTATGTTGATTTTTCATTTCTACAGATGTGCACAAAAACTCGTAACACAATTAGAAGCTACCCCGCTGCTTGGACACGAGCTCCATAATCAAAAGTTAGCAGAAAAATTAGATAATAGAAAAAATGAACTAGTAGAGAAAGTAAAAGATGAAAAATGCAAACAGAAAACTGAGAAAGAGGTAAGAAAGGAGGAGAAAAAGCAAGTTAAAGAGCTAGAAAGACAAGCCAAACTTCTTGCCAAAGAAGAAAAAAAAAAGACTAAAAAGGAAATGAAACAGTCGTTGTTGGGAAATAATAAAGACAGAAAATGAATGAATACATCACACCAAACACACGACATATTGTCTTTCTTAATTTGAAATCAAAAATCTTCAGAAGTCAATCAGATACTGTAAGCATGATTTTAGATTGATAACGTTTCTATTTTTTAATTTTTACGGAAAGTAAGAAAATCAATGAAATATATATATATATATATATATATATATATATGTTTATTTTATCTTCAGTTTGAAGAAATTCAAAATGTTATTCTTCTTGATATATATATATATATATATATATATATATATATATATATATAATTATTATATATAATTATATGTGGATGGGGTCGCTTGTTCGATTCCCCGCTCTGGCATCGGGCAGCGCGATGTCAATTTTCACTTGAAAATATAGATCAAAATATGTTTCCAATTGAAAATTAGCCCATCTTGGGCACCGCGGTGTGAAATGGAAATGAGAAAAACTCTCACACTACTTTTTCCCTGAATCGAGTTGGAGTTTAACTCTACTCACAGGCCTGTTCTAGGGCAGTACTACCCATTATTTATTATATATCAGTGTGTGTGTGTTCAACAAATATCCTGCAAGAGATCTTCCACGTTGGATATAGTCTGGGTCCCCACTTGATTGAACTACACGTCCCCAGCGGTGTTTCCGCGTCTTCAAACAATTCCAGAATGCATATTTCCTTTATTTATTGGACTATAATTTGTTATTATAAACATCCAAAGATTGAAGGATTTTATAGTTACGGTGCGTAGGCTAACAAAGTTTTATAATTATATTTCACTAAAAATTGCTGCCCAAGATCAGAATTCAAACTTTTTTTCCAAATCTTCGGCGTGATTAATCATTTTTTAAACTTTTGAACCACTCTTTTATCCGCGTGTAAAGGTCTTTTAAATTATTTCAAATGTCTTCGTACTGCAGTTGCAAACATTGAAGCTAATCTTGGTACCAATTCGTTGATTTGTTAGCGCGCGATCCAATACGTGTCCAATTCTGAATCTATTAAATTTGTGAGTGTTACTCTCATATTTCCACGTAATTTTCATATATATATATATATATATATATATACATATATTCCATACTTTTTGTAAAATCAAACTTTCCTAAATCTCTTATATAAATAATAACTAGTAATAGAGATCTTTTAGCGAAAAAATATTGCAGTACTATTTCAGACTTGTATCAATCTTATAATGATCTAACTTCGTTTGAAATCGTTCGGACAATAAACTTTGATAATTTGATGGACAATTATATATGATATATATATATATATATATATTATATATAAATATATATATATATATATATATATATTCGAAGTGTGCCAATTCGAAGCGAATTTTTCGAATCATTCGAATCAAACTCGCAATAACCTGATTTGAATCAAATCATATCAAGCCGTTCGCTTTCTGCTCCAAATTATACGAGAATCAAAATGATTCGAATTATTCAAGTTATTGGATTTCTGATTCAAATCAGAATATCAAATCCGCCGCAACTTTTTAGATTTAGCTTGGAATCCGGAGCACTCATTCGTTAATTCGTTACTATTATTTGGTGGACGTATTATCGGAATTTAGAGTCTTGTTTAGGTTTGTTTGGAGGCCGATAATATAAATACGCTTTTAAACGCCCACGTTCTTCAATATTATTTCAACCAAACGCAGATGTCGACTTTAGTAATTATGTTTGGTTATGTTGTGCAGTGAACTAAATTAGAAACATTTATCTACCATCGAAAAATTTAATTCTCTGCTTAGTTTAATTAAATACTGATTTGGTTTGTCAGAATGCAACTTAATTTAGTTTAATTTATTGAGTCAATATACATTTACGCAATATGCATTTTAGTGGTTAATCAAAATGAAATTTGTCATTCAAAACCAGAGATAATACATAATTTGGTAAGGTCTGCTGGTGAGCATATAAGTTGCACCTGAACTTCAGTGAATGTAATTATCGTTCTGTCGCAACCTTTGTTTATCACAAAAATATTGATGTGCTTCTAAAGATGGTTACAATAATTGTGACTCACTGTTTCTGCTAACCAAAAGGCCAGCGAATCCAGCGCTGACTATTAATTACATATAGTTATATTTGCTCGATAAGTAGTAAACTATTGGTGCGTGGCAGCGCGGCGTAAGGTACGGCAAATTGATGTACCGAAAATTAAAATTTTTAAAAAACTTTTCAATTTGTTTGATAACTTTGAAAAAATTAGATCATTGAAAATTTTGAAATTTTTGATGAAATTTGACTTTCTTGAAAAATATGATTTTTTTTTATATTGCTATACTTACCTTACAGGAAGTTAAAGAGTAAATGTAATCCAGATTAAAAGTCGCCATCGAAAAAATATGCACATAAATTTTTAATTATTCCACCAAATCATTTAAATTGTATGTTTCAATTAATGCAATTGTATTTTTGGCTTGTTTTTGATTATGATTCTAATTGGGATTATTTTATTCGAATCAGTCGAATCAGAAAAATTTGATTCAGCACATCATTAGAAACATAAAATACACACACACACACACATATATATATATATATATATATAATATTATATATATATATATATATACATATATATATATACCTATACATATATATATATATATATATATATATATATATATATGGGTCATTCTTTTACAAACCGGACACTTTTTAACCTTGACATTTTAGAATTGTCTGAAAATTTGTTTACAGATACTATTCATAAAATCATTTGACACGTATTTCAGGATTTTGCCGAAAAAAATTTTTTGACGTAAATATTTACGATTGAAATATGGATTTTTTGCTCAATTTCTATGAACATCATCTGCGGTAAATTAATTATCTCCGGATGTGCTGATCCGATCAGTATTATTTTTTTTTATTACACTCATATTGAAGTGAACTTTGTAATGATTGAAAAATTTTTTTTGTTTTTGCAATTTTCTTAACAATAACAACCCCTAAATATTTACAAAGGTTTTACTCGGCCTTTACCCGAATTGAATCGATCCAAAAAAAAAACATATATTTTCTTTTTTTCTCTGCAACAAAATTCTTTTTACAATTTGTTGGAGGTTTTGTTACATCGAAAGATATTAAATATTTTCAAGCGCGAGCCGCGCTTTTCACGTCGTGGACCTCAAAGACTTGTACTCATTTGTCACTTTCGAATGACAATCTTATTGTTTTTCGGTTGAAAAATATTTTATAATTTCGCTTCTGGTGAAAAATGAACATATAGTCGAAAAAAAACATTAGGGGAGAGCGGAGCTTAAAAGTTCGTGGGTAAAAAGATCCACTGCCAATATCTCAAAAACAAGAAAAGTTAGAATTTTTTTAACAACAATATTTGAATGTAGACGGATTGTTCAGTTAGATTTTTCTAATAATAAAAAAATGTTTTTCAGCCACTTTTTTTAAATTCGTCATTTTCCGTCTTCACTCCGTAGCCTGGATAAAGAGGGATCGACTTATTTTTAATTTTAATAGAATTTTACGTAATAATAGCTAAATTTCATAGCCAATGTAACATAAAAATTTCATTCGTATATTTTTATAAAGAAAATACCAGATATACCTTTGATCTGATGCTTTGTCAGAAATATTTATCAGCAGAGTTAATTAACTATTAATTTATATATATATCAATATATCTATTGTAAAATAGCTTCTTTCTAACTCAATTTAATTTTTTATTTACTATTTCCTTATTATTTACACCTAGGCCAGTATGAAGGTGTGGTTGACTCTGTTTACCCCACCCACATGTAAGCTTTAATACAGATTATATTAGAAAGGGTTGAAGTCAACTTAAATATTCCTCTACATTCAAATATTGTTGTTAAAAAATTTCTAACTTTACTTGTTTTTGAGATATTGGCAGTGGATCTTTTTACCCACGAACTTTTAAGCTCCGCTCTCCCCTAATGTTTTTTTTCGACTATATGTTCATTTTTCGCCAGAAGCGAAATTATAAAATATTTTTCAACCGAAAAACAATAAGATTGTCATTCGAAAGTGACAAATGAGTACAAGTCTTTGAGGTCCACGACGTGAAAAGCGCGGCTCGCGCTTGAAAATATTTAATATCTTTCGATGTAACAAAACCTCCAACAAATTGTAAAAAGAATTTTGTTGCAGAGAAAAAAAGAAAATATATGTTTTTTTTTTGGATCGATTCAATTCGGGTAAAGGCCGAGTAAAACCTTTGTAAATATTTAGGGGTTGTTATTGTTAAGAAAATTGCAAAAACAAAAAAAATTTTTCAATCATTACAAAGTTCACTTCAATATGAGTGTAATAAAAAAAAAATAATACTGATCGGATCAGCACATCCGGAGATAATTAATTTACCGCAGATGATGTTCATAGAAATTGAGCAAAAAATCCATATTTCAATCGTAAATATTTACGTCAAAAAATTTTTTTCGGCAAAATCCTGAAATACGTGTCAAATGATTTTATGAATAGTATCTGTAAACAAATTTTCAGACAATTCTAAAATGTCAAGGTTAAAAAGTGTCCGGTTTGTAAAAGAATGACCCATATACATGTGCGTAGCCATGGATGTTGCTACGGTTCTTGTTCATGAATTTCACATCTTAATTCATCCCGAAATAGTCACTTGCCATTTGAATTCTGCATAATCAATTGAATATTATCATTTTTTGCATCATTTTTTTTATCATTTTTTTTCAATTTATTGCCATTTGAGAAATATTTAAAAAATCCATTATAAGGTGATTTCGGCCGAAGTTAATAGAAGTATATAGAGTTCAACTATCGATAGGTAAAAAATAAATAAACCTTCACATTTACTTACATGTATAATTGTGAAATGTTTTAAAATACCATCATTTTTTTACAAACATTTCATTTTAATATTTCAATTACTTGTAGCAATATACAAAAACTTTGCCAAAGACCTAGTGTTAAACTGATAGAATATAAAAGTAAATAAAGTAATAAATTAAAGAAAAAGTTTTCACTATTATAATAGTAAATAGTAAATTCACAATAAGTCGAATCGCTAGTTTGGTTCATAACAATGTGCCAATGAGAGATAAATTTAAAATTACGTTCAAT